CCTGGACCTGCGTCCCCGCTGGGCACCTCCGGGCCTGTGGCCTGGTTCAGCCTCCTGTGCGGCCGTCAGGCCCTGTCAACTGGGGGACAGGGGCCTCAGAGCATCCGCGGAGCGAGGCGGGTGCCCGGGCGCACTCCCTGGGGACGGGCCTTTCTCCGTCAGTCCGTTGGCATCCCTCCCGATGATTCATGGCAGAGGCACGCTCACCCCCGCACTTCGGGTCACGCCAACCCCTCGAGCTCCCCCTGCTCCTCTAACTAGGGGCTTCCCCTCTGCCCCCTGCGGGCAGGGCCGGGCCCACCCCCAGGGACTCCTCTCAGCACCTCTGTCCTTAGGAGCTGGGCTCCCCGTCACGTTCTCCTAATTTTGAGATTATTGTGGCTGGGAAGGTCTGGGAGGGCTTCCTGAAGGAGGAGGGACCCCAGGTGAGCCCTGAAGTCCACGGGGAGGACCCTGAGGAGGGGACGGACCCATCACTGCCCTCTCACCTGCCTCGGGTCCCAAAGGGCGTTGGGACCGACCAGGCAGAAAGGACTTGTGTCTGGGGTTGAGAGGGGAGTTCCCCAAGGGGTCGTGTGGGAGCCAGGCTGGGGGGTCGAGTGTCCCTGTCTCAAGGCTGCCCGCCACCTGCCCTGTGACCCCCGCGCCCCGTGCACACCGCTGCCCCCTCCTGCCCTCCATCCTGCATCCCAGCCCCAACCGATGTTCTCATCACCCCTAGGCCACTGCGTCCCCTCTGGTGGCTCCCCCCTCCCTCTGTCTCCCCAGTCCCAGCATCACCCTGCAGTGCCAGACCCCAGTCACCAGGCCCCACCCCCAGGAAGTGCCCGGGGCTCTTGGCTGTTGGGACAGCCCCTCCCCACCCCCATCCTTGCCCGATTGCCTTCTGGGTCCTGTGTTCTCTGAGACCTGAGTGTTTTCTTGTCCTTGGTTCTCAGGTCCTCCTTGCCCTGTCCTGGGGTAACCCCACTTCCCAGGTCTCATTTTGGCTGCTCCTCTCCCCCCACCCCCCAACAGAGCTCCCCCGCCAGCACAGCTCTGCCCACTCCACTCCCTGGGCTGGCCGGGACCTTCGGCCCCCAACGTGGTGCCCTGGGCCCCGCCAGGCCCTGACATGTGTGCACCAGGCCTCAGCGGGCCCTCAGCGGATGATGCAGGAGCACACACGGGCTGTGGCAGGAGGGGTGCCTGCTGGGTACAGTGGGGGGGGGGCCCGC